GACAGATATGATCTCATTAACGATACATGGGAGAATTTAGCAAACCTTCAGTTTTCAAGATGGTATGCTCACGCTACTGCAACACACCACAAAATTTTTGTGGTTGGTGGAGTAAAAGGTGATTTACTAGCCGAGAGTTGTGAAATGTATAATGAAGATTCAAATGAATGGCATTTTGTAGCAAGGTTGAGGAAGACCCCATTTGATAATTACAATCCAACTTTGCTGGGTGTTGATGACAAGCTGTATTGCTTGATCCGACTTATTTGTGCTTGGAATCGAAAAGACAAAATTGATTGGTATGACTTTGAGAGAAATGAATGGAAAGAGAAAACTCAAATACCATATTTTGAAGAACTGTTACCGAGAGGGTTGAAAAATGAATCTTACTTACAAATTACTTCATGCTGTTCAATGGGAATTTTCAAAAGACACAACTTTCTTCAACACGCCTCATTCAAAGACATTAAAACTGGGAAAGATAAATGTGCTATCATGTGACCTAACAAAGCAAAGACAGAAACTATTTTGTGTTCTGTTAGAGTCTGCTGTTGTAGTTTGTTTGTTTTTTTTTTGCAACAATTTGTCATCAGTAATGATATGCACCATAACCCTGGAAACAGTGACATTCTAGTTCACAGGTTAAAATAACAGATTCCCATTATTGGATATTTTAGGGTATTTAAAGAATACCCGTAAAAATCCCAAATTTGGCAAAGTGAGACAAGTCCCAACCAGGGAATTCCCAACCAAGTTCCCTGGTTGGGAAAATTATATCCAATAATGGGAATCTGTTATTTTTTCCCGTGGTTCTTAGAAGCTGCAATTTCTTAAATCCTGGGATTTGTAGGAGTGAAAATAATTTCTATTTCCCAACAAAAAACTCAAATTTTGCAAATTATTTGTAAATTTGCTGTAATTGAACAGGATGTAGATATAATTTTTGTGATCTTGACTTAATTTCATGTTCAGTCTTTTTTTTTGTTTCATGCTTGTGGTATGTAAATTATTTCATTTTCCCCTTTTTTACATTGTAAAGTGCCATGAGCTCAGGATATGAGCGCTATATAAATAAAGTTATTATTATTGTTATTATTATTCATAAACTGTCTCCCAACTGGTGGACTTAACAATCAGCAAATCAGAACCCACTTGTTAAGGGCCAGTAAGTAATTCTGCTGCAGAATAGTTGTGCCTCAGCGCTGTGAAATTCTCTTCCAGACACCGTTATACAGTGAGAAAACATCAGTACTTCCCTATCGTTTTCTCGTTGATCTCTTACTTTACGGACCTTTACGAAACACTAATGAAAAAACGCCGGGCGAAAAAAAAACTGCAGGGTTTAGCCAAGTGAGAACTTTAGCCAAATCTCACATTAAGAAATCGCTGACATATGATGACAACTTCTCATTGACATACGGCTTTTAGGTAGTCTTTTCCATGCACACAACATCTCAACTGAAAACGCAACCGAGCAGCTTAAAAAAGGTCGTAATCCAACTTTGCTGGGTGTTGATGACAAGCTGTATTGCTTGATCCGACTTATTTGTGCTTGGAATCGAAAAGACAAAATTGATTGGTATGACTTTGAGAGAAATGAATGGAAAGAGAAAACTCAAATACCATTTGAAGAACTGTTACCGAGAGGGTTGAAAAATGAATCTTACTTACAAATTACTTCATGCTGTTCAATGGCAATTTTCAAAAGACACAACTTTCTTCAACATGCCTCATTCAAAGACATTAAAACTGGGAAAGATAAATGTACTATCATGTGACCTAACAAAGCAAAGACAGGAACTATTTTGTGTTCTGTTAGGGTCTGCTGTTGTAGTTTGTTTGTTTTTTTTTTTTTGCAACAATTTGTCATCAGTAATGATACGCACCATAACCCTGGAAACAGTGACATTCTAGTTCACAGGTTAAAATAACAGATTCTCATTATTGGATATTTTAGGGTATTTAAAGAATACCCGTAAAAATCCCAAATTTGGCAAAGTGAGAAAGTCCCAACCAGGGAATTCCCAACCAAGTTCCCTGGTTGGGAATATCCAATAATGGGAATCTGTTATTTTTTGCCGTGGTTCTTAGAAGCTGCAATTTCTTAAATCCTGGGATTTGTCGGAGTGAAAATAATTTCTATTTCCCAACAAAAAACTCAAATTTTGCAAATTATTTGTAAATTTGCTGTAATTGAACAGCATGTAGATATAATTTTTGTGATCCTGACTTAATTTCATGTTCAGTCTTTTTTTTTGTTTCATGCTTGTGGTATGTAAATTATTTCATTTTCCCCTTTTTTACATTGTAAAGTGCCATGAGCTGATGATATGGGCGCTATATAAATAAAGTTATTATTATTGTTATTATTATTCATAAACCGTCTCCCAACTGGTGGACTTAACAATCAGCAAATCAGAACCTACTTGTTAAGGGCCAGTAAGTAATTCTGCTGCAGAATAGTTGTGCCTCAGCGCTGTGAAATTCTCTTCCAGACACC